AAAAAAAAAAAAAAAAAAAAAAAAAAAAAAAAAAAAAAAAAAAAAAAAAAAAAAAAAAAATGGAAAATCGCTACTGCTGGTGAATGAGGACAAACCTGGTCCATGTTGACGTCATCCCACTTGAGGGTGATGCCGGTCTCGATGAGGCGCCAGAGGACGTCGTTGACGGGCTTGAGGAAGGGGGAGCCGGCGCGGAAGATGAAGGGGGAGGAGTAGGAACGCGTCACGCAGACCGGGAGCACGAACATCCGCCGCGAGCTGTTGGTCGCCGCCCGGAAGCGCTCCGAGTAGTGCAAGAGCTCCCGCTTCGAGGCGAAGATCGCCAGGTCTCGTCGAGTGATCACCCGCCGCACGTGGTGGTAGAACGGCAGCGGTGAGAGGATCTGGTACCTGCAACATTCAAAATACTAAGCAGTGGCGTGGCGTATATATCGATTGATCTGTGATTTAAACCTATGGAAAAGTAGAGTACATACCTGTATAGCGAGAGTATGGACAGATGTGAAACTCCGAAAATCCATCAGGCCTTCACCGATGCTTCTGCGAATAAAGTTAGGGCCCAGAAATGCAGCCAACCTATGAATTTCAACTATTCAGAACGATTTACTAATACTATTGTTACGAACCGTCGTTTATAAAGCACATATTTGACTCAGTTTTTGCATTTTACTCATTTTTGCGGAAGAACGTTCATTTCTGTACATTCTTGGCCATCTTGGTTAGAATTGGAATTTGCAGACTCTGCAGATTGACAGTGAAATTTTGTGTGGTAGAAGTTGGTTAGAGGGATGGCTGCACTTTTGAACCCAAGACCTCTATGAAGCGATCTATCCATACTCTCGCTATACAGGTACTCTATGGAAAAGGATCAATAAACAGGGTGTTTGCAGCGAACACTGCGACCTCCATAGTACTGGAAGGCGTTATGAAATCTGAATCGAAGACAGTAATTTTAATGTGATTATCGTCAACTACATACGCAGTCCCGGAGGCATTCTTTCCGTAGCTTACAAGTTTCAGAAATAACTTTCAGAAAAATCTCAAATTTTGTAAATGACTGTACTTATACGTTTCGAGAAGTTAGGATTGAGTTAAATTTGAACGTCATCAACTGATTTGTCATTGAATTTATTTTATTTTTATTCTCGTGTTTAATTATTTATTTGTCTTATAACACATTTTTATTCCTCCTCTGCATGCAGTCTGAAAAATCTCGGTTTTCCAAAAGACTTTATTCTGATTTTAAAATTTAGGATCGAAAAACGACTCCAAAGTTGTTAACCAATTCCAATCGTTAAATATTTTCGTAATTTTTGAAATTTAGGATGCAGAGGTCTAACCTCCAGAAAGGAATCCTCTAACCAGAAAGGATCGCGTCAGGAATGAGACGGTACGGGAGATCATGGATGCCAAGCAGACCATCGTGCATGACATTATGACGAAACAACTCATTTGGCATGGTCATGTCCAGAGAATGGCAGGAGACAGGTTGCCGAAGAAGGTCCTTGACTGGGTTCCTCCTGGGAGAAGACGCAGAGGGCGCCCAATGAAAGGTTGGAGGGAGGGGATTGAAACGGAAACGTTAAGGTGCTCAATCCCCCAAGATTTGTGGTTTGAAAGAGAGCAGTGGAGGTCAGGAGTCGTAGAGCGCGAGGGAGTGCTGTAAAGCGACTTGTATGTATGTATGTAGGTCTAACCTCAGGATAAGCTGTTCGATATCAACGCTTGACTGTGCCGAGGAGTTTAGAATGTAGAACATTTGTTGCCGTCCCCCGATGTTGAGACTCGTTGAGAGGAGGTCTTCCTGATCCTGGAGCTCAGGCTCTGGAGCCGGCACTGTCACCAAACTCCCCAGGTAGGCAACGTACAGTGAAGTTATCACTAGAGCTGTAACATGCGAGCAAATCACCCGATCAATGATATACATATAATAACTCATCTTTGCTGCAAGAAGTTGTTACCCCTCTTCCTTTTAGTTGCTCATTGTTGGGTTATAATGTTATCTTACTTTATATTATAAAATTATGAGAGTAACGCATTAATACTATAAGCTCTTTTCCATAGGTTTACACGACAGATCAATCAATACATCACAAAGCTCCCTGCGCTCCTGATTATGAGCGATTATGTCAACTTCTTGAGGACTCGGATCTCAAACTTGACAAAGTGTAGTGTGAAAGACACGTTGAGAGAACCCGGTTACTCGTGACTGAATAGCCAGCAAGTTCATTTAATCGCGCTGCGCCGTAGCCGCACGGATACTTCCAAACCGAGCAACTATTTTAATTCCTAGGAGATCAAATTGCATAGCTACGAAATTGAAGGAGCTTTGAATACACGCACCGATTCGTGGCGTTGCGCGTATTCAAAACCCCTTTAATCATAATCATCAATCATTATGAAAACATAGGCAGTGGCGAAGCGTGTTTTGTGATACATCAATTAATCTGTGATTTAAACCTATAGACCGTGCCCCACGATCAAATTAACTCATCAAATACTCATCAGATGCAAGATGGCGGGTTCATCAACCTTTGACGGCCCGCCAACTTTTGATATAGCGGACTTGCGCCAAAACCAGTACGCATCTCCGCTTTCTTGCCTTCAATGAGTTCATTTGATCGTGGAACATGGGCTTCAGGAAAAGGATCGATATTCAGGGTGTTCGCAACGAACACCTTAATAATCGATTCTTTACCACGGCTTCAAAGAGGAAATATTGATTCAACAGTACCGTAGATAAGCCAGTGAGCGACGAAAACCCTGAGAGGAAAAGTCCTCGGTTGAGGTTTATTCGTTGCCCCCACGATAGAGGCGTAGGTGTAGAAAAGGGCGTAAGAGTATTGACGAAATATCTTCCGCTCATTCGCCAGGCGTTTTGAGAAGTGCTTTATGAAGAAAACCGTGATTGCAACGCTTGCTGCCACCATGCACCACGACGGTATCGTGAACTCCGTAGTGTAGTATTTCCATATTGAAGGCTCGTTCCTGTGAATGAAAGCAATGCGAACGAGTTGTAAGTCCGGTTGCAGTGAGCAAAATTGAAGGAGAATAATTTTTGATCTGATTAGAATTCATTCCTGAGCATGTGGAACACAACATTTACGCCACAGTGCGCTTATGTCTTGGTATCAATTCCCACAAACTTGGTAATAAACGCACTGTTTTACCACATTGAAAAAAAATTGGTAAAATTTATCATTCCTTTACGCTGTATTTCACACAGCGTGAACATTTAACAGATCTGTATTAAGAGATGACAAAACAGCCACAAACACGCACTGGAGTAAAATGTTGGTAAAATTTACCATTCCTTTACGCTGTATTTCACACAGTGTCAACTCAGAGTCAATTCTGCCAGAAGAAAGGTAAACGTTACTATGTATTGGTACAGGTAAGCATTCCTCTGGCAGAGGATAAGATATTGTTTTTATTCAAAAAGTAAAACATAAAATAAAGAACAACATTGATCTGCCCGGCAAATTGGAACTTCACGTCACTAATCACGGCAAGAATCACGCTGTGTGAAATATAGCGTGAAGGAATGGTAAATTCTACCAATATTTTTTTTCACTGCGTGTTTATGGCTGTTGTGTCATCTCCGAATACAGATCTGTTAAATTGTCTATGACTACTTTAGGTGAAACACGATCCTGTTTTATACAAATAGTTTAACTCCGGTAAGGGTGGTGAAGTATCACACGAATTTGAAGGCGTTTTCAACGGGCACGAACAGTTTCCAGGAGCACACAACAACGCGTATCTTGCAAACATAACGAATGAACTTGCGTCTCTCAGTCATTTTCTTTGAAGACCTAAGTCAGAATCAGCTATGGAACGAAACAATCGCAAGAAAATTTGCAAATTATGTGAAAAGTTTCCATGAAAGCTTTCCCGACTGAATGCGAGACACCTCTTCATGAAGGTTCGATAAGCAATTTAACAGGTAGACCGTACAGGACAGGTTTGTATCAAGATGCGCAAAGTTTTGATTAAATACATTTCAACTTTGGTGTGGGCGCTGAGGTATAACACCGCGTCATTTCCTCGAAGACTTAGGTCAGGATCTGTCAATATACGAAAAAGTTGCAACCGTGCTCACAGTTTTCATGAAGGTTTTGTTCCCCACTAAATGCAAGACGGCATTTCATGAATGTTCAATGAGCGATTGAAACTTCGTTTGATGTTTCTTCTTTTTTTAAGTTTGTTTCATATCAATTTCAATTGTAATAATTCAAATTTGCTTCATTTGTGCAAAATTTCTGAAGAAAAAAGTATTAAAAAACTCTTTTTTGGTCGGTTGATTCGGAACTTTTATTGCTCCAAAAACTTTGGATAGACCGAAAAACGATATTGTGAACCTACAGATAAGTATTGTCCCTTTGAAGTTCGCCTCCAATAATACTGCATAGGCAGAAAACTCACAGGGGAGCGCAAATAGTTATCTATTCGAAAACTCACATTTTATTTCGCTCCATTGAATTTAGTTGGATAGATAGAAATAGATAAGTATGCTCGAAGTAAGTGAAATTGACTACATGTATAAGTTTCTTACTCTTAGGAGGGCTGTAAGCAGTGCAGAGTTAAAATTGTTTTAGAATAAATCATTGAATTTTGCTCGAATTTGTGTTTATCTTACCCAATACCTTCTGGAACTCCCCACGTGAAACAATCTTGCTGGATTTCTTTGGCGAAGGTCACCCCAGGCTCGCTATCTAATAGCCGCGTGAATTTTCCAAAGCCTAAGTCGACCTTAGGAATGAAAACAAGACGGCTGGAAAATTATCATGCATGGAGACAGAGGTGCATTCAGATTATGGGTGAAATTGTTTAGCGTTCAAGTATTTTCTGACCTTGAAACACTGACACAATGAGAAGAAGTTGTGAGGAACTGTTTAGAGTAATGCAAGGAAAGTCAATTCGAAAGTTCAACAAAACTTGAATTTGCATTTTCCCCGGAGATCACACTTGGAGGACCGCTAATCGCTAGTTTATCAGTAAAAATTATATTTGAAATTTAAGATTTTGGAAATAGAATAATAAAATTCAACGCACTAATTCATAATATATCATTTGAAAAAAAGATAACATGAAGAACAAAAAAAAATAGTTTGCCTTTTATTCGTCAAAAAAGCAGTCTAAAAATCTTCGAGATGGATGCAAAAAATTCTGTAAAAAGTAAAGGGGGGGGGGGCTGAATGCCCTCCTTGATCTGCCCAAAACAAATGTATACAACATTACGTAACATGTTGTCTTCTTCCCAACATTTTACTGGGAAAACGACACGACGGAAAGTCGGGAGATCATCTCTTTCTTCACGTTTTCATTGAATATCCATACTCTCCGTATATATCCGTATCTATAGTTAGTTAGTTAGTATATTTTAAGACATTCAGCGTCACAGGCTATTAACGTCTTTACAGATAATTTTGAAAATGGGAGTCCTTCCGCTTCAAAAGGGTCATCATAAATTAAACGAACTTCATTTTGCAATTTCTGGCTGCGATTAGGAACAAAGTTTGTACCGTTAGTTTTCTTATGCATATGGGTATTTTTTACGGATGCGCTAGAAAATTTAGTTCTGAATAGCGAAATGTAGTCCAAATGATCACGCAATTATATCGCTGAGCAACAAGGAAGCTGACACGTAAAAGTCGTTTCACTTGCTTACTCCTATTTAGACTTATTTATATAAATATGTAAATGAAGAGGTGAAAATTAGTCAGGTTTTATATATAACGTTTTATCATTTGAAATGACAACAATTCCAACAAACTGTACAAGAACTTCAAAATCACAAGTTGAAAACCGCTGACGCAGCAAGTTTAAATAATCGCGTCAAACACAGTACGATCGGCACGGGGCTAGTGCGCACAGCGCGGAACAGAGAGTGGCGCCTTACAGAGCCACAGGATACTTCATGCATTGCGCGTACAGCACTGGGCGCGCGCGCGACATAGTAGTGCCTTACAAGTCTGCAGGATACTTCATGCATTGCGCGTATATCACGGTGAGCGCTCAAGTCGTTGAAAAGTCATATTTCCTCGGTGTCAACCCATCCCGGTGTGCATCATTTCGGAACATTGCACACCGCGAGTTTGCAATCCCAGGATCACAGGATTATAGAGCTTTGGCAATCCTGCATATTTTCTGGTGAAAATATAATTTACAAGTGGAAATTTTTCTTGTTGGAGTGCTGCTACGTTCTATCGTCCGGAAAACGTCGGACGTAGCTAACTTCCTGGGGGAGAAAGTGGACATTTTGTAATCACAAATGTGACACAATTTCGAGGGAAATATATTTTTCGTATCACATTTACACAAAAATGAACTCCGGTAATCTAACCTGACTCCGAAAATTTTTGCAAAATGACCTCGGTATACCTGTAGCTAATATCGGAAAATTGTAGGGGTGGGGGGGTGTCCACCGCGGCAGCACGATGGGCTGGTCTGTTGGCAATTTCAGCATGTCCGTATTCTCTCTAAATGGGTATACTTCAGCTGGCTGATTATTGAAATTGATAGACAAAGCTGTATACAAAGAAGACATAAGGGAAATCAGCGGTGTAAGTCGGCAAACATATAACTCGTTCGCGTTGTCTGAAAATCTCCGCCTCTATGTTATTTTTTTGAAGGAGAACAAATTGACATCAGTCCTTGAAGTTTTTGCAGAATTTTCTTCGCTTAGAGAAGAAAAATTAGCGGGAGTTTTCAAGAATTACCGTCGAGTAGTTTTCCGTTTAAAAAATAAAGTATGACAGGAAGTCTGTGACGTCGCAAACCGAGTTATGTGATTGCCGACTTGCACCGTCGATATGAAGGGATCCCATTAGTTGAAGCGGGTGGTCATAATGGACAAAGGAAGTAAGTAATGGACTAACTCAGGACAACCCGCGAGAGACCCTTCAGTTAGTCTATCATGATTCATGTATCCCTTTAGTCTAAAAGAACCACCCATTTCGACCAATAGGATTGCTCCATACTCCCTATGTCTTCTTTATCTATAGCTTTGTCTATCAATTTCAACAATCAACCTGCAGTTTCACACTTCAGCCAAAGAAGTCCTTTTAGTGATATTGTTTTCTGGTTTTATGGACCGGACCTGTCCGGTGGCGACCATGCTCATCAGGCAGCTGGTCTCGTTGAGTCGTTCGAGCTCCTGGACGTTGCGTGGGCGGTTGACGACGATCTCGGGGGTGAAGTTGAGGTAGCTGGCCATGAAGTTGAACATCTCGATGCCGGTACCAGAGAGCCGCCACGAATTGTTGCCACGCTCGATCACAGCCTCCGGCGGCCGGTGCACGCCCATGCATCGCACCTTGCACCCGAACAGGTCTCGCATCTGAACAGGGACCAAATCGAATATTACCTTTAAAATTAACCTAAAACGAAGAAAGATAACGGACAATTTTACAACCGAAAAATAGGATGCTTCGGTACATTTTTTCAAGCTCATCAAGGGTAAAAACTTATCTCATTTTGGGATAAGTGAAATTTATTTCAAAACAGGTCTTTGAGAGTCGACCGAAAGAGAGGCAGTGTCACACCAAACTGACAAAATGAGAACTGATAGGGCACTTGAACGTATTTTCACTAGTATTATAGAACTCTAGAGGTAGGTTAAATTGAAGAAAGCGCTCCCTACCGGCTGAGCGTTTTAAACCGTTTTAAGGGACCCGCGAGGGTGGGGACTCGGGTTGCCACTGCACCCCGGCAACGGACCCGGCTGATTGATCCCGGCACATAAGTTAGCTTCAACGTTATGTCGATGTTCAGAGGTCAACTTCGCCGGGCAATATCCCTTACAATATGAAGAGTATGGATTTGATCGACATGAATCGATCGAAAGATAAAATCATGATTCGATCGACAGAATTCGATCGATTCATGGGTTTTTCGATCAATTCACGGGTTTCTCGATCGATTCCCGGTTTTTGATCGACTCTCGAGCTTTGTCGATTGATTCACGGATTTGGTATATCAACTCACGGATTTGTCAATCGACTCACGGGTTTGATCTATCGACTCACGGATTTGTCGATCGACTTATGGATTTGATCGATTGCTTCACGGGTTTGTCAATCGGCTCGTGGATTTGGTTGATTGCTTCACGGATTTGTCGATCGACTCATGGATTTTTTCGATTGAATCGGGGTCGATCGAACCACATCGCTGGGTTCAAGTTTTTATTTTTCGATCGATTCATGGCGATCGAGCACATACCCTCCTATCAACATTGCTCCCTACCCCATTACAAGTTTGTGGAGTGCGAACCTTGCTCTTCTGCGAGAAGAGGGACGGCGTGCGATGGGTGAGTCGTCCTCTCCTGGGGTCCCAGTCGTTGATGAGCACCGGGGATCCAGCCTCGAAGCAGTGGTTCGGCGTGAACGGGTGATACGTGTAGATGCGGATGGCCCGGTAGCGGCCGAGTACCACGGCGATCGCGTCGATGATCTGCTGCGCCCACAGCTCCTCGAACACGTGACGCACATCCTTCAGCACGCTCGGCTTCGTCCGCTGCCAGATGAACACCAGCTTCGAACGCCCTGAAACCAACATTGCCATCTTATGTGCTGGTTACACGCTCAAATTCCCGTCAAATTCCGATCAAAATGATGACCAAGATGGTGGTCGAGAGTTATATAGATTAATGAGTAAAATTAATTAAAACAGCGTGTTGATTGAAATAAGCACGGTTGTGTGGAAATCAGATGAAGGATGAGCCCCACAGCTCCATCATCTACCATCAACTTTTTGCAGGCCGCTGAAAATTGATGGTAGATGGTGCGCATCAGTCACCATTCGATCGGAATTTGACGGGAATTTGATCGTGTAACCAGGCCACAATGCCGGAATCACACGCTGAATCTGGCAGCTGATTGTGGCAGTGAACAGTCATCGCTCAACAGCTGAAATTTCGCGAATTCGAGTCATTTTCATCCAAATGCGTATCGAATCCATTCGAATAGTTCAGTGGACAAATCCGACACTATCCGATGGTCGCTGAGAATCGTTGCCGACGTGCAAAATTTAGGCATCGGGTCGATGACTTCCACATTCAAGCCTCAATAAGCTCCAACATTCAGCGTGTGATTGCGGCATCAGGAAAAACGCCGTAAGAGCCTGTAGAAGTTGCCATGCTTCCGACGAATTCATCGGGAAAATGGGTCAGTTGCGCTGGTCACAGAATCGTGTTTTGATGCTTGATTATTGGTGAGCAGTTAAAAATAACGAGATTCATCCGAACAGAAACTTCCATGTTACCATTGTCTCGGGCTGCCGCGTGAAAACAATCAATTGTGCCATCAGCCGCCACGTAATCAATTTGAGAAGATATGGACATGTGCGGTATTTTCAATTGATTATGTGTACATAGGTAGGTTTTTGGGGGGTTTTCTCAAGAGGGGGTTTTCCCCTCAAAGAGAGATTTTTATGGGGGAGATTCGGACGCGAGATTCCAAGAGCACACGTACCCATCCCTGGAGACTAAATATCCATCAAAAATTCCAAATCGAAAAAAGTGGACATTTGTGGTTTTTTAATTCGCCCATTCAAATGATTGTAGCCTTGGTTTCCTTATACAAGCAAGTATTTCTACAGATGAGCCACATACAGGGTGATCCAGGGTTAAACGCGCGGTCAGACTGCAGGAGGCGAAACACCACTCCCCCCCCTCTTTAAATTGAGATTTCGATTTTTTTCGATCATTTATGAATTCAGGCATAAATGTACGGAAAAGTACGAATTTTCATGAGATTTGGTTCACAACCGTTGCCAAAATTCCGGAAAAATGATTCACTTTCCGAAATTTTGGGGGGCCGTAGCTCCGACTGGAGGCACTTTTAAAAAACTTTTTATACAACAAAAAAGTATTATTTTGACCCTAAGAACACGCTCCTGCGGTCTGGCCGTTAACCCTAGACCACCCAGTATTATAGTTCCATTTTGCAAAATACAGTCTGATTCATACCGTTGCCGCTGATTTTCGACACAATGTCAGCGTATTTTGTTCTTCTGCCATTCTCAAGCAGCCTCTTCTCGTCGACGATGAAAATGAAGAATCCGTTTTGCGGTCGCTTTGTGTGCGATGCGACGATGATACGATCTTTCTGCAATAACTGCACCAACCGATCTCCCAACTCGCCAGGCTGTCCCACCTGAGAACACAACAGCAATTTCCTTACATAGATCTCATTTTGCAAAAAGGAACTACTTGTCTAGCTCAGTTTAGAAACGACCTATGTACCATAAGTTCTACTTTGCAGATAGGTGCTTTTACGGATGTTTATTTTACTAATTTCAACTTTACTTGTATAGTTGCTTAAACTTCTACTTTAAATGTTCATCTCATCAAAGGATTGCATTTTGCAAAAAGGAACCACTAGCATTGCAATGATGCTAAGATTGTACAACTTCATCTTTTGCAATAAAATTGAGGAAATCGTGAAAAACTATGAAATTTAGATGGTAATTTTTGTCTTCAATTTACAGTTTTTAGCGAGTGAAATAGAAACTATTAATGGGTAATCGGGTTTTTCCTCCAAGACAAAAGAAGTTGTACAATCTTAGCAACATTGCAATGCTATTGGTTCCTTTTGGCAAAATGCTACCAAATAATCTTAGAAAAAAGCGCAAACTGAGCGTCGTTATCTTAGGGTTTAAGAAGAAAAGTTTCTGGACACTAATGGACACTCGAATATTACGGTAGCATGAGAGGAATAAAACTTTACAAACTTGGATGTTGGATTACTTGGATACTTGAATTGACGCCTGAGAAGAGATGAATAAAGCTAAGAAGATTGATCGTGATGAGTCAGCTTGCGTAGAGCAAAATCAACCAACACTAGTCTGGAGTTAGCTTAAATTCTTCGTTTCTACGGATATTAGAGGATATATTTCAAGTAAGAACTGGCGTTATTTTGTTTCTGGATAATAAACTATAGAAATATTCGGTCAAAGGTCGCACTAGCCTGCTCAAGTTTAATGTTGAATGTTTTAGAGTGTCATTTCCCAGACGAAAAAATGGTACTTCATTCTGAGGTAGCATCTATTTCAACATTTTTCTTTACAAAAAAGAATGACTTGTAATATTTAAATTCAAAATTTTATTGAATTTTGAATTTTGAATCCATAGAGCAATTGGTTAATGTTCAATACATTATTACAATTTGGTAAATATACGAATTGTTGGTGCATGTTACAACATAAAAAGGAAAATACGCTAAGTATGTCGTCTGTGAGACTGTACCACTGATGAATGGTCATTTTTTTAAAGCATTTGAGTATCATTTCATAAATTACTTTATGAGCTGAAAGGAATATTTTGGATTACTTCCCTCATCCGTTAGAAAAATGATCTTTCGCCTCTTAGTGTGCCTCCTCACGATAGCCACTAAACACTTTTCCAGTTCTCTTGTTTTGCTTGCTTCACTCTCAAGTGAATCGTTGAAGTGAAGGCTTGAATCCACTTCCTGAAATGCCACAATTGCCGCAAACACTACAATAGCTGATAGATCCAAACGCACTGAAAAAACTATTCTCCCGGAGGAAACAGGTGAAAAACCTGCGCTCATCACAACATTCATGGGACAATAGAACATTAAAATAGTAAATGGATCGTAAAAAAACTTCAGATATGATAGCGATATTCTCTCATCTGGAGAAACAAGTGCCTCTACAATGATCTTTCGTCGAAAATTCACTGTTTTGGTTTTAACGGCATATAAAGGGTTTTCAAATAAGCTTAAAAAAGAAAAATATGTTTCACGAACAGAAATTTCAATAATTTTTATGCAGATTTAAATTTTTGATGGATGTTTTCACATTTAAACGGGAGAGGTGAGATTTAAGGATGAAAGAAATATGTTTGTGCGAAAAGAGTTATAAACGACGAAGGAAAGCACCGAATGGAAATCATTGAATTTATGAGGTTCGCGCTCAGAATGATCTTCAAAAGTAGCAGTTGACAACTAGAGGGGACGCGTTAATTGCCGGTTGATGGAAATGGGGCAAAAATTAATCAGGTCGATAGGTACGAACTTGCGATTGCAGCTTAGGTGATAATTTTCCACTTCCCCTTCCTATTGACAATTGATTCCAGTTCCTGCATACGAATTAACTCTTCCGATTGGCTAATAACTGCCCTGTGACGTACACTCGTCACAATTTTTACGAAATATTTCCTCACACAAAAAGATACCCTAACTCATATGGTTACTTGAATGAACGAGTAGTGCTACCTAAGTGAGAAAGAGCTCACAATCAACATGAATATATACTTTCCTTATTTCCTCCGGAAATAATTCAGTGTATAAGAGCACCGAGGTCTAAAATTCAACGAGCGTCTCATTTTAATGCATTTATGACGTGGGATATTATTAAGAGAAAAGTCAACGGTCTAACAATATTCTTAAAGAACAATGCAGCATTTGACTGTCTGTTCACATATCCTGATATTGACGGCCAAAATAGAAAAGTGCGTATCTTTGATTATGTGACGTTGAGAATTGCCGCTCATATTTTGTATTTTTATTTAAAAAAAACAAAAACAAAAACAAAAAAACAAAAAAAAAAAAAAAACAGAAACCCGGAATTTTTGTAAATTTACTGTGAATTTTCTTCACTCATTTAAGTGATTTTTGTAGCATTTTTGTCCCGAAATATTTGTAGGTACAACAACCTTCTATGCTGCAAAAACTCAATTTTGAGTATTTGTGAACTAAGGCCTCTTTTCGGCTGATGGCCAGATATAATGTATTGGCGTATATAATGGATGAATTGGCAAATAAGCTCTTACAATTAGATTATTGAGCGTCAAAATTACGAGCTATACATTATACATCACCGTCTAATCCGAGTTTGAAAGCTGTAAGTTCCGGAATTTAAAGCAGTTGCCGTCGGAACTGAGGCTTGCACTAACGGTCCCTGAAGCCGGAACTTACAGATCTTCCACCCGGAGCAGACGGTATTTCCATGCAGCGTATACTCGCAGCTTGCGACGTCTTGGATTTTTTTCTAATAAGCTAGCGAGAAATTTCTCGAGGACAAGTTCATTGTTTTGTAGGGGCCAACTTGAAAATATTTTTTAAATTATTCGCGCCCGCATGTGGCTTAGACACAGGATGAAGGTCAGTAGCCCTTTCAAAAATATTTTTTCGGAGAAAACAATTATCTTTGTGACAGCTACTGACCCAATATCACACAATCTCCCCCGCAGGTAGACCATAGAAAGTTCGTCTTATTTTTTCAAATATTCTTCCGGCTGAGATTTCTGTTATCACAAGAGTCTTTGTCAGCTTCATAAACTCAAAGACAACTCTCTTGAAAATCCTCTGCATTATCCACTGATAAAAACAATTGAATGAAAGTGACAGTGAAAAAAGTCCGTGGTGAAGGCCAAAGCGTGGGAGCCTTGAACGAGTATATAATGGAATACTTTTCCTTGACACACAATGTTCTCTAAAATAAATCTAAGCCACCAACTCGAGAGAAAAATGCATGTCTTAAAAATTTTCATTTTTATATGTATTGAAAAAGTTTAAAAAACAGCCAACTGAGTTAATGCTTTGGTACAAAAAAAAGCTTCACAGACAGTACTTTGGCATAAGAATACGCCCAAAAATGACAATTTCCTTTCATTTGGTGGTTAGAGCGCTGGTTTGATGATCAAGATCAGGCTTTATCTCATCAGCTTCCTGTTTACAATTATAAAATTTAGGCAAATATCGATCAGAGGATTTCGTTTCAATTTTCCACCCAATTTTCTATCCAATGGAAAGTTGAATGGAAGGTTGAATGGAAAGTTGAAGGTGACGTCACATTCAAGTTTCCTTTTGACTTTTCGTCCGATTGTTCCGTTCTGTTACACTATTACGACTGTTTACACACGACTGTTACACTTTCATTCGACGAAAGCGGAGGAAAAGTTGAATGCTAAGTTGAACCATGTGAATTTGGTCCAATATATTCAAAGCTTTTAGCGAAAGAGAAATCAACATATCCAGTATCGGCGATATCAGCGTATTAGCTCAACATCATACATTGAACAATGGAGAAGAAATATGCCCCGTGAAATGCGTCTGGTTTCATGAAATTTCGCGCATTCTTGAGAATATTAATAATGTGGACAGCTGTTTAATCTCCCTGAAATCACATCCCATAAAGAATGCGTCACGGAGAAGGAGGAGGTAAGGGATTTTTGGATGTTCGTGGATTTTCAATTAATGAAACTCTTGTATGTGTGAGGGATTTGCGATTTGAGCATTGATTCCTGTGTAAAATTTCACGAGAGACACAACGGCGCCACTGGTTATCTCTGAAATCGACGCCAAATCTCAGAGAAGCTCTTTAAGTTGCGGTCGTAATGGAGAGACCATCCCACGCCACCCTGGGAAGGAACCTCTACCTCTGCTAATCCTTGCTAATCCCGGTAGAGGTTCCTTCCTCACCGGGGAAGGATCCTCTACCTTCCACCTCTATATCAAGACAAACTCTCCATGCAAAGATGGGGAAACAAATTCATTAACAGGATTGCCACTTTGTGTGGGAACTCCAAAACTGAGAACGCGGTAACCCAGATAACTTTTTAGCTCTCTGTCTTTATAAGGAGAGTTTTTCTTGATGTAGAGGAGGAGCTATTGGAGTTGATGTCAGAGAAAACCAGTGGCACCATCGTGTTTTTCGCGAAATTTTACGTAAGAAAAACTACTTAAATCGCAAATTCCTCACACATGCAGGAGCTCCATTGTGGCAGTACCCCAAAGAATTAGGCTGTACTAACCCAAAGATTGCGGCACTACCAAAATTAATTGGAAATGCCCATATAATCCGACAAATGGATGTATGTCTTTCAAACGGAACTATGTTCATTATGACGTGAGCCCTATTATGCATATGTTCTTATGGGTCTCGGGGCTCATGTCTTAGTGCAGATAGTTCCGTTTGACAGAAATACGTCCAAATGGAAGTAGTACCACAATTTTAGGGTATAACCCCCAAAACTTTTTTTCCGTGGTCCACACTCAGTGAGAAAATCTGAGTAAAGTTATTTTACTGATTGAAGGAAATTTTCAAGAAAACTCCGACTGTACACTCTGAATTTTTGAACGACCGCCGAAAGGCTCCCTGTAGCCAGTCAACTTCCATGCATCTTTAGGGG